AAAAGCGTGTGCGCCGAGGCTTCGCGAAGGACGCTATCGACCTCGGCGTAACGCGGCCGGTGGAGCCACGGCCGCCGACTCATCGGTGCGTCGTTAAGCCAGAAGTGCGACCACTCGCTCGTCGTGCGCACCCACTCGGAGGCGAGTTCGCGCCCTCCGCGCTCGAGGCAGCCAGCCAAGCAGACGTCCAAGTAAGTTTGACAGATCGGGCACTCCTCGGTGGCGGAGTGGCACTCGCGCGGCACGTACGTCCAGAAGCAGTTGCCGGTGTCCTGCAGCGCGTCGGTGGCAACGCCGTCGGGGTCGACAAGTACTCGAAGCGCGGCAGCACTGACCTCCACTCGCTCGTAGCCCACTTCTCGAGCGTCAAAGCGGCTGAGGGCGTCACTGCCCACGCGGAAGATGATGCCGTTCACCGGCATTGCGGACGCGCTATCCGCGCGCAGGCCGACGGCGGTGAATCCTGATGGAGCGCGAAAGCACCACTCCCTCACCCAGCCGGCGCTCGCAGCCATTTCGACCACAGCGGCCGAGGACTGCTCCTGACCCGCCTGACCCGAGTCTGCCGCACCTTGCAGAGTGGCCTGGAGACTCCGCTCGCTGATTATGCTGCCGTAGCCAAAGATCCAGTGCGCGCCAGTGCGAAGCTCGAGCGGGGGCGCCATTCTAACCAGGTTCGTTGTGAAGAGCTGGGGCGCGCCACCCAAGAGCCTACCTAGGGGGAGGGGGAAGGCTGGGGGTTTTAGGTGTGTTGTTGGCAAATCAAGACAGGTGATTTCTCAGATTTTTCCCGCAACCTCCTTCCCCGATAGAGGACCCCTCCCTGAGTCGGCGGATCGAATTTCCACGCGAATTTCCCTCGGGCATCGCTGTGAATGAGCATTCGCGGGCCAGGCCACAAATACAGCGGCACTGGAGAGCTCTCGCTCCCTTCCTCGCCGCCACGCCGACTGGCGGCTCGTCGCGGGCGGCCAGGTGATCGGCTAGAGCCCAAACGTCGGGCTTGGCCTCCGTCGCCGTTCAGATGGACGGCTGTTGGTGGTGCGGGACCACGAACTGGGCGGTGAGGCGGTGAGGCGGTCAACGGGCTGCCCGCCGTGGCTCTAGAGCGAGGAGAAGCGCTCGGGCCGGCGTCTCCGGCGTCGACGTGCATCCATAGGGACTGCGCGGCGGCGGTACGCAAGAAAGCTTCTGCGCTCGCTGCTGAGGAGCTTGCTGCTCCGCCGGCAAGAAGCACGCGCTCCGCTGTCGAGACTGCGCGTCCCGACAGCAAGCGCCCCGCTGTCGGCGGCTGGGCGACGGAGTGTGGGGTTGATACGGCGGTGATACACCCCCCTGACAGCAGCGCCTCGCGGTGTGGC